AGCATCCACGGGCAGCAGCCAGGGGCAGAGGGCAGCAGCCGTGGTCAGCAGCCGCGGTCAGCAACCAGGGGCAGCGGGCAGCAGCCGCGGTCAGCAACCAGGGGCAGCGGGCAGCAGCCACGGTCAGCAACCAGGGGCAGCGGGCAGCAGCCGCGGTCAGCAACCAGGGGCAGCGGGCAGCAGCCGCGGTCAGCAACCAGGGGCAGCGGGCAGCAGCCACGGTCAGCATCCACGGGCAGCAGCCAGGGGCAGCGGGCAGCAGCCACGGTCAGCATCCACGGGCAGCAGCCAGGGGCAGCGGGCAGCAGCCACGGTCAGCATCCACGGGCAGCAGCCAGGGCAGAGGGCAGCAGCCGTCGTCAGCAGCCGCGGTCAGCAGCCAGGGGCAGCGGGCAGCAGCCGCGGTCAGCAACCAGGGGCAGCGGGCAGCAGCCACGGTCAGCAACCAGGGGCAGCGGGCAGCAGCCGCGGTCAGCATCCACGGGCAGCAGCCAGGGGCAGAGGGCAGCAGCCGTGGTCAGCAGCCGCGGTCAGCAACCAGGGGCAGCGGGCAGCAGCCGCGGTCAGCAACCAGGGGCAGCGGGCAGCAGCCACGGTCAGCAACCAGGGGCAGCGGGCAGCAGCCGCGGTCAGCATCCACGGGCAGCAGCCAGGGGCACCGGGCAGCAGCCGCGGTCAGCATCCACGGGCAGCAGCCAGGGGCAGCGGGCAGCAGCCGCGGTCAGCAGCCGCGGGCAGCAGCCAGGGGCAGCGGGCAGCAGCCGCGGTCAGCAGCCAGGGGCAGCGGGCAGCAGCCGTGGTCAGCAGCCACCGTCAGCAGCCAGGGGCAGCGGGCAGCAGCCGCGGTCAGCAGCCAGGGGCAGCGGGCAGCAGCCGTGGTCAGCAGCCACCGTCAGCAGCCAGGGGCAGCGGGCAGCAGCCGTGGTCAGCAGCCCCGCAGCAGCCCCTGCGCCGCTCTTCGGGGCGGGAGCCCGGGACGCGGAGCCTGCGGCCAGGCTCCCTGCAGTGGGGCCAAGTCGAGAAATGAACGACGCGTGTGGGGGTTATACAGATACAGGTTTTTCTTCCTTTGGATTTTTCATTTATTTTCCTAATACTTAGTGAGTCCTATTCACGTATAGCTCTGGATATAAATATATATAAAGGCAATGTTTATTTGACAATGTTTTCACGTTACCGAGAATTTGAAATGATCACTTTCAAGCTCCCTACATGTGTAACTCCTTTGCATTTCATCTAATTCTAGAATCGGTAAAGAGCTGCATGTTCACAGCTATTTTAGTGGTTGTATCTTCGTAGCTATTTTGTTGAAAAAAAAGTGAAATAGGGCAAAAAAAATGTAGGAAAAAAGCTTCAGTGACTTTAAAGTTTCTTCCTGCTGCCTCCTTCTTGAACTAAAATTCAGTAAGTCTCCTGCAAACGCCGGCCGCCGAGGCGCAGGCCCCCAGGCTGGCACCTCCAGGCCGCGCCTGTCCTCGAGGTTTCCGCCCACTCGCCCTGCCTCTCTGCGTGCCTCACCCCCCCCTCCGGGAAATGGTAACACAGCAGTGTATAAAATGAAATGATCAGAAAACCCTGGCCACAGGGGTGAGAGGAGGATCTATGAGGGCCCTGGAGTTACTGAACTTTATGTCAGTTTAAAATCTCCCAGCAAACTCAGCTGATGAAGAGACACCCGAAAGGCCTCCTGCCTGCACAAAGAGATCAGGAGACACAGGAAGTGTTTCCTAGATTCTGGTTTGGCTGACCACTAATGATAATTTGCCTTTTATTTTACCTAGCAAGGCAGGGCTTCCTGTCTGTAATAATTTGAAAAGCACAGGTGATTAATAATGCGTTGATTCATTTTACTGAGAAGTGTTTCCACAGATGTTTAAAGCCAAGTTGTAACACTTTGTGTCACTGAGACAATTTCTTAAAACTGCTTTGAATACGGTATTAGTACACTGGGGAAGAAGCACTGCACCTGAGATAGGAGCTCACGGGGAGGCCACAGGACGGACACTCCTGCAAAGCAGTTTCAAAAGCCTCCCTGAGTAACTGTGGACTTCTTGTTCTTGGCTTCTGAACACACGCAGCGTGGCAGAGGAAGGCGGTCTTCTTGCCCTTCAGTCCTTTTTTATGTAAAACCGTTGTCTTCCAAATGAACTTTGAATTTAAGGAAATTGTGATTTCACCACCAGGTCTTTTGCCTCTCTCTGACCCTTGACATTTATTTGAATTTCAGTCTTTGGAATTCAGTATTTGAAATTTCCTTCAAGCCATCTGAAGTCAGCTGAGCTAAACCTGGACGTCAAGGCAGGAAACGACGCAGGGACTCTGACGGGCAAGGGCTTGCTGTCCTTGGAGCCTCGCAGTGCCCCCAGCCCCCTCAGCTCTGTGTGTCCAGCCCAAGTGTGTCCTCGCTGCAGCAGGTCTCACGCGCCGGCAGGGCGTCCGCAGGCGGAGCTCTGCAGGGCTCTCCTTTCTGCAGCCGCTCAGGCCCAGCGGTCCCAGACTCGCGCCAGGGCCCAGGCAGGTAGCTCCTTCCTCACAGCCCGCTTCCCGCCTCCTGTCTGCCCTTTCTGTTCTCCTTGAAGGAGCTGCGGCTCTCACAGGTTATCGGGTTTCCTTTCCGGCACGGCAGCCTTCCTGCAGCGCCTGAGTGATTTCTCCAAGGTACTCTGGGATGAAAGCGAGCGGATAAATGTGAAGAATTACGTTTTTATTTCTTCGCTTTGGAGGGATTATGCTATGACTCTTGTGTTTAGCTTGGAGGGGCCTTTTGATCTGATTTCTTTTCTGCATAAGCGAAACAGCCACCCAGAGGGCCAGCGCTTCCCCTTGCAGCACAGCGTAATTCAATTTGGAAGCTCAGTGAGGCTCCCCTGGAAATGCACCTCCAGGAATATTTGCTCTCTGACAGATGCCAGCATTGGGTTCCTGGCTTCATGCAAAACAAGCTCCAGGGAGACTGCGCGTTAGGTGGCAGGGAAGCCACAGAAGCTACTGTCACCTTTTATGCTGAGGACGGTGAGCTTTCCTCCTACAATCCGTGCTGCCACTCACAGCAGCAGTGTGCACTCTGTAATTTTCAGCCGCCAGTGTGCTGTGACTCGCACGATGGGTATGTTCATTTAGGTTTCTCAGTGAGCTTTCCATGCAGTCCTACTTACAGAAATCCCGCTCAGTGTAAGAGACTATACAGCCAAAGGAAGACTGTTTTAGATACACACCAAGCTTGGCTGTAAAACCGACTGTATGAGTTTATCAAATACCTACATTTAATCCACATCCTATTGGTTTCTTTGGAGTTGTAGTATTCATAGGCCTGACATCAACCAAAAGTGTCATTTTTAAAGTTTTAATGCCTGACAAGTCCAAACGAGTACTCAGCCATAAAGAAGGGTAAGTGGAGACATTTATAGGCAAATGGATGCAGCTTGAGACCTTAATGCTAACTGAAATAAATCAGAAAAAGGTCAAATATCTAATGGTTTTCCTTATATAAGAAGCCCAAAGTATTGATAATTTTAAAAACAATGTGAAAGGTAGGATGTGGGGAAAAGACTGCAGGTGGGGAGGGGAGGGGAGGGGGGCTCTGCTGTGACCTGCATGTGCCCCGGAATGCGGGGTGCACACATGTCCTAGGTACTGCAAACCTGCACCAGCAGGAACAGCCCCCTTTCCTCATATTCTGCTCGTTGTCGCTGTGTCTTAAACACACACACACACACACACAGGTGCATACTCACAAAATAATTCATGAGGGAATATGAAATAGTTTACAATACTAATTTTCTTTCCATTGTTTCGTTTTCTAAAAACCACACATCTCTTTATCCAAGATCCTGAAGGCACCTTAATCACTATGAAATTCTCATATTGAAGCCCTTTCCAGTCTTGAAGCTGAAATCCACCATTTCCCAGCACTACAGAGACATGAAAGTTCTCATAAATCTGAATTTTCATCAAACTTTACTTTTCTGGGCCTGAGCACCAGACACGGATGGGCAGTGTGACCACAGAGGCTGTGGGGCCTGGCTGCCTAGAGTAACCTGGGACGTGGCCTAGCAGCCAGGGCCATGTGCCTACGCACAGTATGAGCTCTCCATGGGGCACCCACACTTCCTCATTTTCTGCAAAGCCACAGAGAATTGGCAGTCACATAATCTGCACATAAAAGAACAGTTGGGCGTCTGTGTGTCCAGCCATCCTTCAAGGTGACCATGGGATCCGAAACTGGAGGTCAACACCTGCCGGGGGGGTCAGGGCTGCACCCTGAATTCCCTAATCACAGCCCCCATCAGCCCCTATCACTGTGCGGGAATTCTGGGTCACGCGAACCCATGTTCAACCCAAGGTAATACAAGGAAAGGGAAAGTCAGTGCTTTCGTGTGCTTTAAGTGGGGTCTTGCTTTCCTGGTCTTACACTGAATGACACTGAAAGCTAGATCAGTATTATTATGATGTGTTACTCCAATGTGTATATTTACTGAGTGTTTGAGCGCTTCAGACTGTATATTATATTCTAGATTAACAAGAATTTAGATATATACTTTTGGCATTCTCATCAAGTTGAATTTCTGTCAAATTCAAAGGATTTTTTTAAAAAGGTACCAGAGAAAAGCAATGAAAATTTCCCCAAAATGCTAGGGTAATTCAAAGGTAAAGGATTAACTATGTTAAAACAGTTTAGTTCCTGCAGCCAAATTGTATGAAGTAGTTGCATAATGCATTTTGTAAACAGTAAAAGGTACTGTGCTAAATGTCCGAGATCAGGTGTTAAGTGACAATTCTTTTCATGATAAAACACGCACAGTTCCTAGCATCTGGGCTTATTTTAAGTGTCAAATTGCTCAAGCTGACATGGCTTGAAATTTAATCTCACCACTCCCAGTGCAGTAAACAGACATGGCAAGGTAAAGTCTATAAAGAAATGCCAAAGAATGTACTGAGATTGAAAACTACATTTCAAAATCCTCATGGTTGCCACCCTTGTCGGCGAGGACGATAATTACCAATCAAGGTGGAGACGAATGGGGAGCTGGGGTCAAAAGGACATCTGCCCCTTCCCCGCTCGGATCTGTGCGACTCCAAGTGGAATATGGGCTCCTGCAAGAAAACCAGAAAGCACTGTCAGTGCGCCAGCTTGAGGACAAATTCAACTGCTTTGATGAAATGTATCAAAACAAACACTCCAAATACTGTCCTAGCAACATGGAGAGGTTCAGGAGCTAACTGGGCTTTGTACTCAAGGGTGAAGGCTTTGCAGATCTCTATGAAAATCTCAGTCTTTAAAACTATGCAGGTGATGAAATGAAAGAAATTATTGGTACTTTTTATAGCTTGATCAGGAAATACTGGTTATTATAAGACTTGCCAGTTAAATATCCCACGGAAGTCGAAACTAGATAAAACAAAGTTCCTAAAAAGGAGATTCAGTGATAACAACCGTGTCATTATTATATTCCAGACATGCCTAAGCGATTGGCTTGAATAGTTTGGAAAGTAATAAGGATAAAAGTTCCTATCCATAATCCAGAATACTTCTTTCCAATCTTTTGTACTTATCATGTATTCTTTTATAAGCATTCAACGTTTAATAATTTAAGGAATGATTAATCCATTATTACTAGGAGATATGGATCAAATGCAATACTACACATTACTGCATTTTACTTTTTAACGTATGACTTTGCAAGAATAACAGATTACATATAAACATTTCCATAAGATTCTATTTTATTGACTCCTATTTCAAGGATATAACCACAGATTTCTTTTCTGAATGTTCCTAGATTTGGGAATTTCCATTACTAGGGGTGTGTGTGTGTGTGTGTGTGTGTGTGTGTGTGTGTGATGAACCTCCAATAAGCACAAGCAAGTTATTTAGGGAAGTACATAACTTTCCTGGCTTACTCTTTCTTATCTAACACGTTTTCCACTTTTTCTCTCAGATGCTCCCAAATCTCCACCCCAATGTGGTCATTTTAAAGCCATCCAGGAAACGCCGACTTCTGCTGGCCAGCCGCTGTGTCCCTCCAGTGCTGTCCTTGGATTTGACCCATGGAGGTTGCGGCCTCAGCTCGGAGGTGTGGCTAGATCGATATGTCTAGCCACAGAGTTTTGTCTCTTTGGCTACCCTCCAAAAACTAGAAAGCATGAATGGCAGTAATCTAAGAAGTGTCTGTGTTCGTTTTGCAGAGATGGCAAACTGCAAGAGCAAGAACACAGTATAGGGCTGGTGCTTCAGCCCTGATGTGCGGAATTCTGTGCCCTGGGAAGTCACAGCCTTTTATTTTGAGGCTTAAGCCAACCTGACAGCCCCAGGGCAGGGCCTCTGCAGCCTGCCTGGCTCAACTTTGTCTCAGGAGTCAAAGGGCAGGTAAAAGGTGACTCACCTCAGCTGGCCTCAAAGATTACACATCAGCACCTCAGCCAGCCCTCTTTACATTGCTTAGAGCCCACTGAAGGGGTCAGGAAAAGTCCCAGCCCGCTCTGTCCATGTCAGTGCATGGAGACAGGGCCAGGGTTAGCCAACAGTGGGCAACTGTTCTCTGTTCCAGGAGAGTCAGCCAGGTGTCCTCCTGGACATCCAAGGACAACTCCACACCCCATGTCTACTCTAGACAGTACATTCCCCCACTTGTGCACTTAGAAAACAAAATAAAACAGAAATCCCAAAATATTCACTCCCTTCTATAGACCAGTACCTGAGCTAGTGCTGGGAACTAGTAACAAACCCAGCCCTGACCTCCCTCCCTCGTTCATGCTCCTGTAAACTATCTGAAACACCCATCTCTCCAGCGTTACACTGCCTGCCGCTTGGCCGGCACCACTTCACTTGCCCACTGTCACCAGCCTTGGGGCAGGTCCGGCCCAGCTGTGAGCCCTCCTGGGCTGCTGAGTGGCTCTCTCTGAAACACGCATTTCCCGTTTATTCCCCTGTGAACTCTCTCCTGGCCTTCTCGTGGTCCCAGTCTGAGTCCTTGGGATTTTGCACTGGGGCTTCATACTCCAGGGCTCCCTCTGACACTGCATGCCAGGCTTTCTAAGCTTTCAGGTTTCTAAGTATCTCTATAGGGCTTGTGAATGTGTTAAGGTAATAATATCAAAGTGGTATCAAAACTTCAGACCTACCTTATCATTCCAGCGCCTCCTCTAACCCGGTCGCCTATTTGTCCTCCGACCCCTTGTCTGTCTATAGCGTCCTATGAATTCCTCTTTTCTGTCATTTACCACCTGGTATTACAGTTGGTCCTTGTTCCTACCGATCTACGGCACTTCTGTGAGCACACTGGCTGAGCAAGATTTATCTCTGAGTCTCCTGTACTAAGTAAAAACACTTGCCACAAAGGAGAAACTATGTTTGAATAAATGCTACCTTTAGAGAAACAAATTGTTTTCTTTCTTTTTTTCTTGCAAGACACTTGCTTATTGTGAATCCAAGACACCGCATGAGCCGCATCTGTGGGTCTCACATGGATGTGCACCAGACCTTCTGAGCCATCACTATGCTGTACTGTACAAGAGATAAATACACAGCAAAACTACGGCTCTACTTTGTGTCTTTTCATGCTCTTGGATTTAGTAAAATTGATTAGAGTGGTAGAGTAACTGAAGGAGAGGTAAGGTTCGTGATTACCCAGCTACCAGAAATACACTGTATTTACACCTAGTGTTACAGGTTATGATGGACCTTTGCCAAGGTCAATATACCAAGTTTTGGGAAAATATAAACAACTTAATGATTTGTAGAAATTATTAAAAAGTAACATCAAAGCCTGGAGAATGTTAAAGCGGGTCATTTTATCCCCAGAGACTCTGCCTGCAGCTTGAAGGGCTGTGGAGCACAGCAAGAATGCGGTTCTCTGTTACTGAAAACTGGTTTCTCACCACTGCTTTTGGGCAGGGTGAAGCACAGGTGGTGTTTCACACAGCGACCTTTGTTGTCAGACTTCAAGAATGGACGCGTTGGTTTTAAAATAACTGACTTTGGTTTTGAAAATAGTTTTGTATAAGTGAATTGATCCTTTGAGCCATGACTTTGGAGCAGGAACTGTCTTAAATTGTTGTGATCACAAGACACACTCATCAGTTCATCTTAATTCCTTTGGGGTCAATGTAATATTTTGCAACTTTAAACAACCAAGTTGTCTTAATTAAAAACAAAAGGAGAAAAAAGAATACTCTGGATTAGACCGTCCTATTAGTATGACAGAAAGCAGGCAGCTCTTAAATTTTATCACTTTTTTTGTAGAGATAAAGCTAACCTCAGAATTAATTGTGTTCTCAAGAAGAAAGCTTCCCATAGTAGTTTGGGACTTCACTGTAGTCTGAAATGCATGTGTAATGTATACACAATCCAATAAAATACTGAAAGGCGAGAAATGTAATTTTCTTCCATGAGCTAGAATTCAGCTACCAAACCAACCAGAAAACTCAAGGCATGGTGACACCGCCAGTGACCCTGAAGCAATGGTGTTTATGGTTCAGGCAATGTGTAATGTTGAGGTTTAACCCTATTGAGAACATCGGTCATAACTTACACTGGATTTTCATTATCTGTGTTTTAACAGCTGGGCTTTCTGCCTGAGCAGGGTGGGTTACACTTACAAGGCACTACTGCTAGTTTTCCCATCTGGGTTGCACGCTTTGCTCCAGGGTGATACAGGGAATTTTCCAGTGGGTCTTCCTGAGCTGTCAACAGAGACGTCTAGTTCATTAATGCAGGGGCACCACGTGCACAGCACAGTGCAGTCCTGGAGTATAAACAGCAGCTCTTGCCACGGGAGTTTTCCTCCGAGCCCTCACGAGGGGCCCTTAGAGCCCAGCCAGCCAGCAGTGAGCTTCCTTCAGGAGGGCTGAGTCATTACAAGTCAGATGTCAGAGCAAAGCTAATGAAACAAAGTGGTTCTCCTTAATAATTAGCTTCATGAATTCATACTGGCATGCTTATTCTCACTGTCACTGGGATGTTCTGAAAGATACTGGGAGAAAACTAAAATACCATAAATACAAAAAATAAATCAGTAATTGCCATATTAGCTAGTGTTAGTGGTAAAGAATAAGTAGTAAAATACACGAGGTTCATTACACAGTTTTCAGCCAACTATGGAAAACAAGCAGAACGCAGTTTTGATGTATGGATATCTAGAATAAAGGACCGGACTATGCACTGTGACTCTTAACTTAATTGCTACTTCATATTATGTATCACAGATTAATTTCGAGTGTGAATCACTCTACCATTTGTTTTTCTTCTTCTAGTAAATTTAGTAATTTACATTCGAAACCATCCCCAAAATGAATAAACAAGCAGAAAAGAATCAGAAGGAAGCAAAGCTGTGAGTAAATATTTTGACTTAGTAGCTTCACATTTTCATTGCAAGTTTCTCTAAGATGCTGCATTTTATTATAATTCAGAATTTAAGCCTTTTACATGTATTTTTTTATCCTCAAGGTGTTATTTCCAGAAGTGCTACCTTCTTACGAGAGGGAATCAGGCACGGTGATGTTTTGCCCGTCTCCACAGCATCCTCTAACTCCTATGTCCCTGTCTGCTGGCCCAGTTTGAGGTAGTCCTGTGTCACCACAGACTGGAAGGTGACCATGGCAGCTCCACTATGGGACAGCATGCCTCAGTGCCCGCTGTCTGCTGGACTCACAACATCTCCCTCAAGACGGCTTCCACTAGGAACAGCATCACCCTGCTGACTGCCTCTCCCTCTGCACCTCCTCAGAGACAATCAAGTCTTCCGAAGGCCTCCACTGCGATCTGCTGTCCACTCAGGCTGGCCTCCAAGACAGGCTCTGTCCATCCGACTCCTGCCACGCTATCCACACTCCAGCAATACCCTCGATTGAGCTTTCTTCACAGGACTATGCTTCCAGTACCCACAGCTCCTCTGGGCATGACACTCTGCCTTTATGGACAGGGAATTCCGTGAGGACTCCTGCTTATTCATTAGAATACAGTCTCCAGAAATACCTTTCCTGACATTTTCCAAGACTTCTCCACCAAAATGACTCTTACAAACTACATTACCTCTTATAGCATTATTCACATTGCATTTATAGATTTGTAAAGAATATAATAAACTTTAAAGACC